CGATCTGAACCACATTTTCATTATTCACTCACCAGCTGAGGGACCTTAGGTTGCTTCCATCTCTTAGCTACTGTGAAAAGAGCAGTAACAAACATAGTTGTACACGTGTCTCTAGAATAGGATGAGTCCTTTGGGTATATGCCAAGAAGTGGTATAACCGGGTCATATGGTAGGTTCATTTTTAGTTTTCTAAGAGATCTTCACACTGTTTTCAATAGGGATTGCACAAGTTTGCAATCCCACCAGCAGTGAATGAGCATTCCCCTTTCTCCACATGCTTGGCAGCATCTGGCATCATTTTTTCTCTTGATCCTAGCTGAAGGTGATACCTTAGGGTGGTTTTAATTTGCATTTCCCTAATTACTAACAATGCTGAACAATTTTTGAGATGTTTCTTAGCCATCTTTATTTCTTCCTTTCTGTTTAGATCTTTAGCCCATCTTTTAATTGGGACATTTGGTTTCTCAATTCTTTATTTTTTGAGTTCTTTATATATTCTGGATGTTAAACCTCTGTCAGGTGTGTCACTGGTGAAGAATTTTTCCCATTCTGTGGGTTTTCTCTTCACTTTTTTTTGTGTGTGGTCTTTTCGAGACAGGGTCTCCCTGTAGTCCCAGCTGTCCTGGACTCACTATGGAGACCAGGCTGGCCTTGAACTCACAGAGATCTGCCTTCCTCTGCCTCCCAAGTGCTGGGATTAAAGGCGTGCATCACCACACCCAGCATCACTTCACTTTTTTGATTGTTTCTTTTGCTGTACAGAAGCTTCTTGGTTTAATGAGGTCCCACTTGTTGATTGCTGACCTTAATTCCTGAGCAATTTCTGTCTGATTTAGAAAATCCTTTCCTACACCTATATCTTGTAGGTTACTGCCAATATTTTCTTCTAATAGTTCCAGGGTTTCCAGTTTCACATTGAGGTCTTTGATCCATTTGGAGTTGACTTTTGTGCAAGGTGAAAGATAAGGATCTAGTTTCATTCTTCTGCAGGTGGACATTCAGTTTTGCCAGCACCGTTTGTTGAAGATGCTGTCTTTCCTCCATTGTATGTTCTTGGCACCTTTGTCAAATATCAGGTGGCTGGAATTGCATGGAGTCAGGTTTGGGTCTTCAATGATGGTCCATTGATCTATGTGTCTATTTTTGTGTCAGTACCATGCTGTTTTATCACTATAGCTCTGTAGTATACTTTGAGATCTGGTATAGTAATCCCCCCAGCATTGCTCTTTGTGCTCAGGGTTGCTTTGTCTATCCGGGGTCTTTTGTGCTTCCATACGAATTTAAGGAGTTTTTTTCTAATTCTGTGAAGTATGTCATGGGGATTCTGTTTGGGATTGCACTGAATCTATATATTGCTTTTGGTAGGATGGTCATTTTCACAATATTGATTCTTCCAATCCATGAGCATGGGAGGTCCTTCCATCTCCTGGCATCTTCCCCAATCTCTTTAATGATTTAAAATTTTCATTGTAGAGACCTTTGGAGTCTTTGGTCAGATTTATTCCAAGATAGTTTATTATTATTTTTGCAGCAATTGTGAATGAGAACATTTCCCTGTATTCTTTTTCCAGTTGCTTGTTATTGGTATATAGAAAGGCTACTCATTTTTGTACATTGATTTTATAACCTGCCACTATACTGAAAGTGTTGATCAATTCTAGTTTTCTGGTGGAACTTTTGGGACCTCTTAGCTATAGTATCAAATCATCTGCAAAAAGTGATAGTTTGACCTCTTCTTTTCCAATTAGTACTCCTTTAATTTCCTTCTCCTGTCTTATTGCTCTATCAAGAGTTTCAAGCACTATGTTGAAAAGGAATGGAGATAGTGGACAGCCTTGTCTGGTTCCTGAATTTAATGGGAATGCTTCCAGTTTTTCTCCATTTAGAATGATGTTGGCTGTGGATTTGTTGTATATAGCTTTCATTATGTTGAGGTGTGTTCCCTACAGCCCAGTTCTCTCTAGGCCTTTGAACATCAATGAATGCTGAATTTTGTTAAAAGCCTTTTCTGCATCTATTGAGATGATGATGTGGATTTTGTCTTTGAGTCCATTTATATGATTAACGACATTTATTGACTTGCATATATTGAACCATCCCTGACTCTCTGGAATTAAGCCTACTTGAACATGGTGAATGATCTTTTTGATAAGTGTTTGCATCCATGTTCACTAAGATATGGGTTTATAGTTTTCTTATTTGTTTGTGTCTTTACCCAGTTTGGGTATTAGGGTGATACTGGCTTCATAGAAGGAATTTGGGAGTTCTCCCTCTGTTTCTATCATTTTGGATAATTTAAGTAATATTGGTTGGAGATCTTCTTTAAATGTCTGGTAGAATTCTATTGTAAATCTGTCTGGGCCTTGGCTTTTTTTAATTGAGAGGCTTTGTATTACTGTTTCAGTTTCCTAATATTTTATGAGTCTGTTTAAACTGTTGATCTCTTCTTGGTTTAACTTTGGTGGTTCCCATGATTTTAGATATCCATCCATTTCTTTTAGATTTTCATATTTAGTAGTGTATAGGTTTTTAAAATATTCCTTCATAATGGTTTGGATCTTTTTGGTGTCTGTTGTGATGTTTCCCCTTTCATCTCTGATTTTGTTGATTTGGATTTGATCTTTCTTTCTTTTGGTTAACTGTGCTAGGGGTCTGTCTATCTTGTTTAGCTTTTCAAAGAACCTGCTCTTAGATTCATTGATTCCTTATACTGTTTTCTTTGTTTCTATTTCAGTAATGTCTGCTCTGATTTTTTTTATTCGGGCTCTTGGTGTAAGTGAGACCCTTAGTATGGGTAATGAAACATCAGCAAAAAGTAACCCAGCCTTAAAGGCTCTTCGATATATGCTCAAGAGCCGAGGCTTGGAGCTATCTGATCAGACTGCAGGTCAGGTCTGGGAGACAGTGACGCTTTTGGCACCCTGGGTGTCTGCGGCCAA